AGCAGCACCGGGAAAAAAAAAACACATAGATCAACCTTCCTCCTCCTTATGTCAATCTTCCTTACTGGGTATTTGATTTACCATATGGGTTAGGTTCGTTGTTTCTTGTTATTGAGGAAAATGATGTGTGGACTTTGATGTTATTTCAAAGGCAAAAAGAAGATTGAAGACAGAAAAAAATGGAAAGTCATTAAAGAAGAAGAAGATGTCGTGAGAGAGAATGTTGATGCTTTTAGAAAGACGTAAAAACATAAATGAGGAGAGAGAAAGTTGAATAGCAAAGTTAATTAAATTAAATTTTAATTAAAGAATTAGTTTGTTTAATCTCAGCCGTTTATTTATTGTAGTCTAATCTAATGGTTCAAAATTTGTTTAATCTCAGCCATTTATTGTAGCCACTCCCTATATATATTCTGTCTGAGCAACACAAAATAGCTAGTATATGGCAAATTCCAGGAAGGAGCAAAAGTCTATATATAAGTCTTTGATCGAAAAAAAAGAAAGTCTATGTATAAGTCATTGTGTTCAGACCAAAACAAAAGGTCATTGTGTAATACGACCCAAAAAAGAGTCATTGTGTAATTTGTCATGATCTGGGTCGTTCCTTGCTGAGATTCATGGGACCCATGCATTAGCTTTCTCCACATTTACGTATATTATATATATATTCCTTCCTGGGATTCATGGGTCAATGTGTCACAATCGTCATGATCTGGGGTTATGATCTGGGCCGTTCCTTGCTGGGATTCATGGGTCCCATTATTTCTCCACATTACATATATATATATATATATATATATATATATATTCTGTCTGAGCAACACCAAAATAGCTATACTAGTCCTTTTTACATTGGGATGAATAATATCATGAATCCTCACAGCTCTAATTTCGTCATCAGGCAGCACTTCATCAACAATCAGCACTTCTTCATCAACTTTGCAGCAAGACCACCAACATTGCTTGAAGCTTCAACGACATCTAAGCGTCACCATGGCAAAAACAACACAATTCTTGCCTTCACCATTCCGACGATCCTGACGTTGGTGCAGATGCGGTATGCACAAGAAGATCTGTTCCAAACGCACCGGATCATCATGATGGTTGTTCTGTCCAGCATCCTCGGATATTGCTTGTCCTTCAGCTTATTAGGGCTACTGCTACTGCTTATGAAGCTTAGTGTTATTAGTGATGAACATGATCAGAGTCATGCATACATATATAAATGGTGCCACGTCACCATGATGCTGTTTGGTTCAATCTCAGTTGCTTCACTCTTGTGGCTTCTGCTTTTTCCACACTCCTCTTCCTGCCGCCTTGTGATCTATCTAATCTTATGCTTGTTGCTTTTGCTGGTAGTGCTGCTGGGCTTGGCCTCCAAACTCGTGACGGCTGTCGCTAAAATCCTTTCTCCGGCTGGCCGAGGACAGAACCATGTCAGGAGGGCAAGTCCACTTTTGCCCCTCAGCACAGTGAATTTGTCCCTAAGATAATAAATATGGGTCTTATTATCGTGAAGTGACCGGTGAAAAAGGAGGAAAGGCAAATAGTCAGTTTCACAAAAAGTGAGAAAACGCGCGAGCTTTCCTCCTTGCATGTTTTTTTTAAAATTTTGCCAGAAAGTTTTTTTAATAACAGTTTTCTCATTTATTCTCACTATAATTTATTTATTTTTAAAGCGTGCAACCAACTTACAATTCAAAAAGTAGATGAATATGTTGGGAAAAAAAAAGTTGATGCTTGTATATTCGAGACTGTTAGTTTCAACTTGTCCTACAAATAAAGGGCAATAGTCACCCTTTTGTCACTAACTAATTGAATGGTTGGTCATTGCTTTTGTTTAATTATTTGTGACTAATCTCTCACATTTTAATATTTTGGTGACAGTAAATTTATAGAGAATGATGAAACATTCAAAATACCAGAAAATGACCTTGGGTAATGCAAACATTAAGAATTGAAATTATTAATTAAATGAGGATAATATGGTAAATTCACACTTTTTCATATTTAAAAAAAATTAAAATTAAAAGAAAAATCAGATAATGGATCCTATTTTTATGAAACACAACTACCCATTATTTTTTTTAATTCTAAAATAAATTTAAACTTTTTTAAAAAAAGCCTCTTGCAGGCACGGAAGTACGTGCAAAGAGGCTAGTAAATATAAAACTAATTATTGTGATTAACACCGAAACAATAATTTTGCATGACTAATATTTCATTAGAGCCTTGCTAATAATTGTAATCCAATAAAATATTCGGTGGATTACCCCTCAAACAAATCGAAACTTACCCCTTTTCTTTTGTAAGCTCTTCTCTCCCAAAACAACCCAGCAACCCCTTTCTCGTCTGATTTTCTTTTTAGATCCGGTAGTTTTCACCCCGATCCCTCCATTTTTTTTGGCTATCTCCTTGCTTTTGACAGAGTTTGTTATCTCCCTTGTTTATACTCTTAAGCTCAACTTAGTAATTTTGAGCCTTCGGTATCCTTAAGTCCTCGGTAGGGAGTGTAATCTGCAATATAAGAAAACGCTCGGTAAGACCTAGGGCACCGGTGTGATACCGGCCGAAGGCTCTCCGATGCTTAAGTAAGTTCGGATTTAGTAAATTAAACTGACAGATCAATAGGCTTGTATGCCGTTCGTTCTGATTACCTCTATTTTGGGATAGTTGGCCTCCTTTATAGGCCTTGGGAGATGTGCACTTTGTTTAGAATTTCGATGTGGGACTGTGGACATCGATTATGAGCATGCCACGTGTCCCAGGAGAGGGCGTTGCCCTAATGCATGGATCGGTAGGCTGGGTGTCGAAGGCAACTTTGATCAAACTCAATTTTGTCCACGTGTTTTATTCTTATTGGCTATTCATTTCGGTATAAACATTACAGAGAGATAATATCGAGTTGGTTTGGCAATGTTTGATTAAAGTTGTTCATTTTCTTCGGCGTTCTTTGTTTAAAAATGGTTTTATCTTATGTATTTGGTTTTGTGCAGACTCCAACTGGACCTGGGGATCGACCTCTTGCTGAGATCAGGCTCAATCGAGTGACCATTCATGCTAACTCGCTTGCTGGGTAACCTGGAATGTTTGACTAGTGGCCATTACCTTTTTTGGAGGTCTTGTATTCAGGATTGTACACTAGCAATGAGTTGCAGTATGCGTTTGGTGAGTGCTGTTATCACCGCAGAATATGTATAGGCCAGTCTGGTCACTTTGTAATGTGACTTTTGGATCTGGAATGTTAGATATATTGTTCTGGAGGGATGGTATTTGATGTTATGATAATATCACCAAAATTAACAAAACTTGTATTTCCTATGCGTGTTTGTTTCTTTTTGGCCTGAGCTTTTGGGTTTCTATACCTTTCCGGCTCATCATGAGCATAATTTTTTATATGGGTTGCAAATATGTGAACAAGTTCTTGGTTCATGTTTTATCGTTTCAAAATATTAAGCCTCGTTCGTTTATGTTTTAGAGGCTTATTTTCATTTTCAAAAAACAAAAACAAAGCAAAAACGTGTTTGGTAGGCAAAAACAGAAAACATTGAAAATGTTTTCATAAAATGAAACCAACTTCACGTTTACTTCTACAAAACAAAAAAAAGTTGTTTTTGTTCTCCTAGAAAACAAACGCTCAAAACACTCTCTCGCTCAATCTTCTCTCCCAATCAGACCAAAAACCAAAATTCTTCTCTCCTCACTCACCCTTCTCTTCTCTCCCCCTTTCTTGACCACTCTTCTCTCTGGCTTGGCTCACTCCTCTCTACCACCAGGAACAACACCCATCTTCTCTGACCCAAAATAACACAAATCTGCAAACTAAGAAAAAAATATAGAGGAAGAAAGAAAAGAAAAGAAAAACAGAGACAAGAAGAAGAACCACCATATCCCCAGCTCAACCACCATCATCACCCAATCAAACCACCACAACCATTAATTAGTGGAACCTAGAGAGAGAGAGAGAGAGAGAGAGAGATGGGGGGGTGTATGAGATTCATGCCATGGAAGGAAGGAGGAGTGGGTGCGGCCTGGGAAGGAAAGGAAGAAGAAATGAGGAAGAAAGAAGAAAAGGCGAAGAAAAAGAGACAGTCGTGCGAAGGAAAAGAAGAAGAAAAGAGGAGGAAAGAGAGAAAAGGAGAAAAAGAAGAAAAAAATAAAAGAAAAAAGAAAGGAGATAAAATAGTTTTTTAGCTTTAATTTTTTTCATTGTTTATAATAATAATTTTAGCCTCTAAAAATATCAGAATTATAAAAAATACACCTGAAAAACAATTGTACTACCAGACATATTTTCATTGTTTTTGTTTTCTGAAGATGTTTTCTAATTAATCTACTAGACGCATTTTCATTTCCTGAAAATGCAAATTTGTTTTCTTGTTTTCATTCTCTGAAAACACTCTCTGAAAACGTTACCAGACGGGCCCTTATTTGCGTTAAGTGCTGATATTTCGACCCATTGATCTTATTTTCTCACTCATTTTCAATTACAAGCATTAGGGTTCGTTTGGGAGTGATTCTGAATAGGTCAGAATCACTTTTGGGAAGAAGCTCCCACGTGCTTCTTCATATAATCATTTTAAGTGTTTTTAAGTGATTATGGGGAGAAACAAACACGCACAGAAAATCACTTAAAGTTATTATATGGAGAAGTGATTCTCCATATAAGTGTTCTTTTGGCCTATCTAGAATCACTCCCAAATGATTTAAAATTACATTAAAAAACATCTTACTTATCTTGAAAAAACATACACTTAGACCTAATTTCGGAAGAAAGAAACGAAAAGAAAAGATAACAAGGAACGAAATTAGTATCAGGTAATAGATTCTACAATGAGAATCGCAATCAAGGTTTTCTTATCACTTTCGTACCTTCATTATTATGATCTTGAGATCGTATGATCTTATAACTTTTGTATCTTCGTTATTATGATCTTATCGAAAAGACTAAAATACCCAACACATGATCTTTTTGGCGTTTAATATTACTTCGACATGTATGCTGCTGACATGGTGCATTATAGTACGGCTTCTCCAACAATTTTCCCAAACCTAACGTCCCTCACTCCCCCACCACCACCACAGTGAGAAATTGAGCATTGACAATCATAAGAAGACCAAAATCCCAACTGCCAACTCACTGTCCAGTCAGTGTCCAACCAGTGTCACCTTCTTCCCCAAATTGTTGATAATTAGGGTTTCAAAAAAGACCTCTGCTAATCGTTTTCCTTCTCCGCCCTTCAATGTCTGCCGTAGGCGAAAGCGACGTGCCCTCAAATCCCACTCCAACAAAACCCAATGGCGCTGTGAGCACTACACCTCCACAAGCCACCCAATGCACCAGGCAGTTCATGACCTCCGTGGCGTCCAAGATCGCCTCCCAGCCTCTCCAGAATTACGATCCTGGAGTCTGGGGCGTCCTCACCGCCATTTCCGACCAGGCCCGTAAACGCAGCCAGGTAACCACCTCGTAAATTACTTCCTTCTCTTTCTCTGTTGAATTCATGTGCTGTATTTACTGACTGCAACGAACGTGGGTTTTGTTATTTTTGTTGAAACTGTTCTGTACTGGGGCTCAAAATCCGACCTTTGTACAATTTTTCTAAGTTTGATGTATTGCTGATCAAATAATTTACGTTCTTGAGGCTATATTGTTACTTTGTTTTATGTTGTTTTGATGCATTCGTTTAGACTAATTTTTAAAAGCATTAATAAAAATTTGCGAACCAGGGTATAAATATCCTTTTGACTACTGATGAGCATTACATTGGCCGAACCGTGGCTGATGTGCGTTTCCAGATCGAATCCACTGCGGTTAGTGCAAGACATTGCAAGATATACAGGAAGAGCGTTGCTAATGAAGATACGAAGCATCCATCGGTATTCTTGAAAGATACGAGGTTGTGTACTGTTCTTCTTATCGATTTTTCAGCTTCTTATTCAAATTATCACATATTTTGATTGAATTGAGACTTTTGCAGCACAAATGGGACATATCTCAACTGGAAGAAGTTGACAAAAGGTGGCCCTGAAGCTGAAGTACGTCATGGAGATATTATATCACCTTCTGCTCCTCCTCAGCATGGTAATACTACTGTGCCAACTAACCATCTTGTACTCCAAGCAAGTATTAATAATCGAGATGCTGAGATTAAGTAGGCTTCTTAAAGTATAATTTGGGGGGTGTTAATTCTAAGGGTTTGTGTTGAGATTTCTTTTTTATTTGATAGTTTGTGATAAGCCATAGTCTCGTTGACAGAAAGTTATTGACCTTTTTTATCTGTCATATAATTACAGATGTTGCATTTGCATTCGTATACAGAGAAGTTTTAGTGTCCAATACCAGTACAGATGGTGCATTTGCAAAAAGAAAAGCAGGTATATTCATGACAATGTTAGTATGGTAGTTGTTAATCCACTTTATATAGTTTTCTTCGTATGTGCTCATGCCGCTCTCATATTGGAGTCAACTTTAGATGCTGAGTACATGTGGTGTTCCTACAATTGTTAAAAATCAGAACTGGGCTAAACCGCATCTTTCTTGTGGTTGTGGCAACCATGAAAGCATTCAAGTCTTTTGGGGGACACTGCTTATTGAGAAGTGCCACTGTAGTACATAACTATTTTACTCAGGTCATAATAGATTCGTAGAGATTTGATCTTCAAAACAAATGTTCCTATGTCGATTAGAAATTGGTAGTACTTAAGCTATGTCAAATGCTACTTGTGAGGATAAAAATTTGATGCCTTTATGGCCCTTTGGCTAAGCCCTAGAGGTGATCAACTTCTGGAGAACCTGAAACTAGAAAAAATTTCTGGAGTTGGCAGTGAAATAACACTGTTGTTGGCCTGACATTTAAAGGTGTCTTGTGGGGTTTAAGGTTTCATTTCTTGAAATTTTCAAAACGAGAAAAAAATTTGAAAGAGAATTGGAGAAATAAGATGAATGAAGAAAAAGAAGAAAAGTAGAGAATGTAGGGATACTGCACCTCGTTCTATTTTCTTGTGTTTCTAGGTAGATCAAATGGTCTGCATGACTGTGGATGTGGCTCTGGCGGAGTAGTTAATATTACTTGTTCTTGTATGTGACATAGTTTTCATTATTTTGTGACGTCTTTTCTCTTTTTAGTACAGAGGATTTTGTTTCTGAGACGAAGAGACTAAAAGGTATTGGCATTGGTGCTCCAGAGGGTCCTATATCTCTTGATGATTTTCGAAGTCTTCAACGGTCGAACACGGTATCTCATTTTGATGATACTACAGTAGTGATTGCTGACGTATATCACTGTTGTTAATTGATCATGGAAAGTCAATATAATAAACTTTGAAAACTCCCATATTCAGGAATTGAGGAAGCAATTAGAAACTCAAGTTGTTACAATTGATACATTGCGCAATGAGAATCGTCTGGCTGTTGATCGTCATGAAAATGTATGCTGCTGGTGACCTGTGATCTCTCTCTCTCACAACAATCTGCTTATAGATGACAGGTGTTGTTCAATCTTGCAGGAAAAGAAAGAATTGAAAGAATCAGTTGCAAGACCTTACCTTGATCAACTCAATGAGTTGCATCACACTCTGGAGATTAAACAGAAGGATCTGCTAGAGGTCAGTAGAATATCTGCAGAAACAAAACATGCTATCGAAGACCTCAATGAAAGGCTCAGTGCTGCTATGCAGTCATGTTCTGAAGCAAATGAAATAGTGAATAGGTAAAGCACATATTATTTGGTCATGTGTTTTCTAATATAATTATTCTTCTTGATAGAGTCAACTTATAGTATTACCAATAAGAAATAACACAATATTGTTTGAATAGCTGGCCCTTTTTTTTTCTGGCTAGGAGTTCAAGTTGCTTCTCGTTATACCTGATTTTATATCGTGCACAAATCTAGAGTTCCAAATTTTCTGATCCATGGCCTGGGAAGAACATGGACACCATTTTGTTTGGCTGTCCAACTTTTTTGAATCAGAGAGTTGTGGTGATTGGTAAAAGCATTGCAGGAACCTGGAATTAACAATACATTCAAATAAAATTTACAATGATTTTTATTTCTTTTTATCATTTTTTTTCCATTTGGAAGTGATGGAAAGCAGTGAAACAAATGGCCGGAATGACTTTTTGGTAATATTGATTTGCACATTAACTACTTGTTTATCATGCTTCATTTGAGCATGCTGATGCTAGCATGGCTTGTTTTGTCTAGAACAGTGGTGCCTTGACTGTCTCTTCCCACCTTAGTCAGAAAGCTAGAGCAAGTTTGATTTATGTTGCAAAATATTGTGATAGTCTTATTTCTTGTTTGTAGCCAGAAAGCATCTATAACTGAACTCAAGGCACAGCTGGATGAAGAGCGCAATCAGAGAAGAGAAGAACGAGAAAAGGCTGCAGCAGATCTAAAAGCAGCAGTGCAGAAAGCTCAACTAGAGGCTGAAGAGGAAATAAAACGATTTTCGGATGCTGCCACAAGACGACAGAGAGAGCAACAAGAAGTGATTAATAAGCTTCAGGTCTGGATGCTTTACAGTTCATTATTTCATAGGTGGATGCTATAATATTTTGGTGGTATTGAGGAATGATATATTGACATTTGTGGTCTCAGGAATCAGAGAGAGAAACATGTTTAATAGTAGAAACCTTGAGAACCAAATTGGTAATGTTGGCAGTACCTTTATATTTTCATGTTGTGTAACTAAATACTTCTTTTGAACCATTGGAGGTCTTTATCTTGACTCCCGTGTGCTGCAGGAAGACACTAGGCAAAAGTTGGTTATCTCTGACTATAAAGTTCGCCAGCTTGAAACCCAACTTTCTGAAGAGCAGTCAACCTCCGAAAGTCGAAAAATAGTAATATGCCCCTTCGTGCCTACTTAGATATCATTATAGTTTATCTTCATTTGCAAATAGCTGTTGAAGCTAAGTTCCTTACCACATTTTGGATGTTTGGGCAGAGAGTAGAAGAACTTGAACATGAGATGAGAGGACTGCGGAAAGAGCTTGAGAGTGAAAAGGTAGAAATGAAAGTTTTTATTTTGCCTTCTACAGTGTTGTAAATGGTATAATGTGCTAACCATGTTGTCTTGTAGGCAGGAGCAGAAAGAAATTTATTGTATGCATATATCTAGTTACTTCTTTAGCTGACGTATTTTTTGCTGTTGGTAGCAGGCGGCTCGAGAAGAAGCATGGGCCAAAGTTTCTGCCCTTGAACTAGAGATAAATGCTGCTATGCGAGATCTTGATTTTGAGAGACGGAGACTTAAAGCTGCCAGAGAAAGAATTATGCTTAGGTAAAAGATTCCTGAAGGATTATAATGTAATTTTATTACCGCTGCGTAGTGCTTGAGTAAACTGTTTTTCTCATATCTGCAATTTTATTGACTATATTCTTTTTTATTTATTTTATGTTTTTCCGATCCCTTATTTCCCTGTTATGTCGTTGCTGAGTTCGTTAAACTCTTTCTGCCACTATGCCTTTTTTTTTTCTTTTTCTTTTTTTAATGCTGGATTTGCACCATTTCAAGGAGTCATTTACTTAAACTGTGAACATATGGTTTCTATGCAGGGAGACACAGCTAAGAGCATTTTATTCCACAACCGAGGAGATTTCTGTACTTTTTGCTAAACAGCAGGAACAGTTGAAATCAATGCAGAGGACGCTGGAAGATGAGGAAAATTATGATAACACATCAGTTGATATTGACCTCAATGTGACTGTTGGTGATATAAGTGGAACTGAAGGCAGAGGAAATGAAGCAATCAGATACCATAATAACATTACTGGTAAAGCAGGGTCAGCTACAACACTGCAGAGGTCTGACAGAAATCAAGTTGTAACTTCTAGTGATGAAGATAGTGTTACAGAGAAGCATGACTGTGATATCAGAAGCCAAGAAGGTCAACATACTGAAGAGGTAGAATTTACAAGTGCAGACCATGGGGTCAAGGGTGGCTTTGGTTCTGAGATTGATGGTGTCGGCACAGCACCAATTATGGAGGGAGATGGCATTGAGACTGAGCATGTTCCTGAAACTGAAAGCCCTGGAATCAATGGTGAGCAGAATATTGATCTGAATAAGATTGTCACTTTTGATGGGGATACAATGCAACTTGATGATGAAGCCAGTATACAAGAAAACGATGAGCAGGTTCCAATGATTTGTCAGGAGCGTCACTCTCAATCAAATAGCCCCCGTGAAATTCTAAAGGAAATGGGAGATACAGAAGGCTGTGGGGCAATCAGGACAGCAGACCTTATAGCTTCTGAAGTTATTGGTAGCTGGGCTTGCAGCACAGCCCCTTCTCTCCATGGAGATAATGAATCTCAAAGAAGTAGAGACAACAATGAGGAAGGTGCTGCTGGGCCACACGACTCCATGGACCAGGTGGCTGAGAGCCAAAGTAATCCGTCTTCTGAGGCTGCTGCCAGAAGACAGAATCGCGAACGTCAAGCACTGAGTGAAATGATTGGGATTGTTGCTCCAGACTTAAAAGAGCAGTTCGGTGGAACTGTGGATGATAGTGATGATCACAGGAGAGAAAAACAGGGTACTGCATCCGACTCAGATACTGAGAGTTGTTCGAACAATGAAGAAGATGACAGAACTGATGCTAAAGGTGGATCAATTTCGGATTCAGAGACCGAGGGTAGTGATCAGGTTGCCGAAGATAAAAAATTGGGTGATGCAATGGATGAAGATGAACAAGATACTGAAGATTCTCTTGGATAATAGGCGTGTAAGGAATGCACCAACTACTCTAATACTTGTCTGGTTTGGACACGAGTGGACCTGTAAATACGCAAGACATGTCTGGATTTCATGTCTCCGTGCAGTTAACAGTTATGGTGTATATATTTAGCTTTTTCTATACCCTTTTCACCAAGGAATTAAATTTTTTGTTTCTTGCTTTTGACTGGCGAGGGCAGGCAATGATCAAATGCCATGGGGTGATGATCTAGGATGTTGAACCTAGGTAGTAACTTGGCATGTCTAAATTTGCCACCTCAAAAATGGGATCTGAGTAAGGTATGGTTTTTTGAAATTTTTGAAGAGTAGATTTGTCTTAGTATTAATTTTTTGAGTACATGTTGCTCCACTCTCCCCTCCCCTCCCTGTCATTCTTATAATTGGGACTTGATGTTCATTGAGGCTTAAAAGTCCCCTTCCCCATCTACGGTCGTAAGTTTGAGCACTGGAGACATTCTATCTTTGCAAATGCGTCTGCCCTGTTGAAAATGTGCATTGGAGACTCGATCAGACTGAGAAAACATGTGACATGTGTTTACCATGTGACATGTGTTAACCCTTTCGCACATGAAAGATACACCCATTACGTGTAAGTTTTTCTCCAAGAGGAGAAGAGTTCATGGCCTAAGAATCCTTTTTCTCCAAAGCAAAGGCATACCATGTCATTAAGAAAGTCAAATTTTAGTTGTGGATTATGATCTCAAAGTAATGAGCACTTTTGGCCTAGAAGTCAGAAGCAGTGAGTTTTGTCAACGAAGTGGATAATTTAGGAAGTCAAAATTGTCAAGGCAGCAATCAATATACTTAATTCGCTCCAACACTTGAACGCTCTTCCTTCTTGGCTTTGGAAAAGAAAGCATCATGTAGGTTTAAATAAATAAATAAATAGAAAGCAAGTGTAAATCTTTATCCAGACACCAACTTGTCTGTGTAGTGGCATCTTTCTTATGAACTGAGATAAATTGTAATGAGAAAGTCCATGTTTAGAAGCCCTTCCAAATACGTAACTCTTAAATAATAATAATAAATAAATAAATAAAAAACAAAAATTATTATGATGAGGATGCGTGCCAATCTTAAGGGCAATCGATGGCAGTAGGCAAATTGAGTGGCAGGTGGATGGATAATTGGTGTTGGTGATGGTGATGTGGACCACCATTGGTTGATGGTGAGAGGTGCATGAGCAGTCATAATAAGCAAAAAGTTCATATGAAATTACATTACACTGAATTAAAATTACTACAAGTTAGAAAGAAAGCACAAATTCGATTAGAAAAATTGTTTCTTCTAACTTTGTTTTTCTTTCACTCTTTGATCACATAAAGGATATTGGAAGGCCCATAGAGGATCCACTTCTTGTGAATGATAGAATTGAGAAAAAGGGAAATATAAATTTGAGAAGAGAGTTGGGTTTGTAGTATCCTCCATAAGAATTTCTAGGTACCCCTTTTCTGTTGCGACCTTTGTTAGTTGCTAAGTGCCCTAAACTATTCTCAGTAGTGGAGCCATGTGCAGCAAAAGTATATATTTATTGAAGGTGATGAATTGAAATACGAAAATTGTAGGGGAGCATTAATATTTGTTATTGTGTGTCAAAGTTTGGAAATGAGAAGGGAGTGCGTTATTAGGGTTCGAATATGAAATCATATGCAGGTAAATGCCCATATTATTGAGCTATGAGCCCGTCGGCTTATCACACACACTTTAAATGTATACATCATGCTCTTCACCCAAAAACAGTTGTATAGAAAACAAGAAAAGATTCGAAAGTTGTAAGCAAAAAACCAAAGTGAAAGCAATGAGATCATTTTTGAAAATGGTAGGAGCTTCATTTGTTTGTTGACTTCCTTCATCTCACCCTCATGGGTAGTATATTAGTACTGAGGAGATAGTATCACAAGAAATGAGTGAAGCCTGCTCTGGTCGTAGCCCTAATTATCAAACAGCCAAACATCCATCCCATGTCCAAAAGGGCATGATGAGGGACTATAGTCCAGTTCTATGCCCA